AAAGGGATTCATTATTCATACTAAAACTGAAGAGGTGGCGAGTGGGTCAACAATGTCAAGCTTTGGCCCTGACTCTCTGCACTTTTCTTGGCTTTCTGGCCTGAGCTATAATGGCTGCTGTAGTGCTCAGGGCATTGCATTCGACATAACATTCACAGCGTGAGAAGAGGCAGGTGTTTCTGTCCACGTCTCCATGATCCCTCAGGTGAGGAAGCAAACAAATCTTTCCTGAACATTTCGTTGCCTGCAACTGGGTCCCACAGCCTCTCATAACTGCAAGGGAAGCTGGGAAGCCAGGAAGTGGAAGATTCCTTTTCACTCTTGTTGACGGAACAGCATGATGGTGCATTCCCTAGCACAGGACATTTTGCCCATCTCAAAATAGAGGCTCTTTTAGCAAGACAAAAGAAGAATGGTCATTGGGCAGGGAGTCACCTATAGAACACTGAGACTTAGAGCAGAGACAATGAAAAGCAGGGAAATGGGTTTTTCCTACCCTGCTTGCTACATGAGCCAGAATGGAGAAAGAGGCCCCCTAGGCACAGGACTGTGATCAGTACACATTGCTTTTTTTTTTTTTTTTTTTTTATAAACATCAAAACCACACCTGTCTTTAAAAAAAAAAATTTAAAAATTTCCAGCAAACCAAAAATCTGAATTGAAACCAAATGCATTAGAGAATCACAGAAGAGAATAAAGATGTTAATAGCAATAAACACAGACTGACTACAACAGCTTACCTTTCTGATTATAGAGTTAATTTTTACTGACTATCCAAGATGTGCAGAGTACAAGAAATAAAAATGAAAAAAAAATTACCTCCAATTTTACAGTTTAGACATGGTTACCTATTACTATTACTGTTTGGTATTATTGTTCTCAGCCTTTGAGATGTATTGGTACATTTTTTCCATTTAAAATTGGGATTTTATGGAGTTTAATTTTATAACTTACCCTTTATTCTAATAAATCTATGACCCTTTTAAAATAAAGATTATTGTTTGTACCTCTCTCTTCCATTCAGTGTGTACGATTTGTGCTATACAGAGTTAATTTGGAAAAATCATTTGTTTTCTGGAAGTGAACATGCCATAGGGGCAAACTGATCAGACAGTTCCCTCATTCATTGACTGTGTGGCCTATGTAAATTGCTTAACCTTTCTGAATTTTTATTCTTTCATTTATGAAATGAAGATACTGGCAATGATGGTATGATGTTTTTTGTGGCAACCTTGTGAGGATAAAATATGGTAATATCTATAAAAGTAATTTGTAAATTGAATCTAAAAGACAAAAATTCAAAGTCAAAAGAAAAGTTAGCAACTGAATATCATCCTTTCAAAATATTTTTTAAAATTTTATATTTTAAATTTAGAAGATTAATTTATCTTATTATTATTTTTTTTTGGTGGTACTAGGGTTTGAACTCAGGGCCTCATGCTTGCTAGGCAGGCACTCTATCACTTGAGCCACTCTGACAGACCTTTTTTTGTGTTGGATATTTTTTGAGATGGGGTCTCACAAACTATTTGCCCGGGCTGGCTTCGAACCATGATACTGCTGATCTCTGTCTGTCTGAGTAGAGCCATGAGCCACCAGCACCCAGCAAGATAGCAAAAATGTCCTATATTTAAAATAATAAACCCACAGCCGTAGGTTTGCTTGAAATTGTGAAAGCTGATTTGTTTTTGATAAACATTTGAGAAATTAAAATTTTTATTTGGAAAATTTGTTTTAATATAATTTTTGATTTTTTGATTTGATATCTTAATGTGGTAAAATTTAAAAAGAATACATATTTGTTTATGACTAATTCTGAAATTTTAAATGCAATTTAAGCAAAAGGTACTCATTTAGGAAAATTTACAAAAATATTCCCTTTTCTTGTAAATGATTAAAAACATGCAGCAACAACAACTTAGATAATAATAATAATAAGAAATCAGCAGGCTTAGCTTGAAACCAAATCTTGCAATCGTTGACTGCACTTGGCACAAACATGTTTTCCTATAATAAGCATCAAGCATTTCCCACTACCTCTTTCTTTTTGAGCTCAGACACTCGATTAATTTCCTGGAACCCCCTCTCTCTTATTTCTGAGTACTTCCTTATCTTCCCATGAGAAGATAAAGCTGCAAGATAGCCCAGGATGTCTGTTCCAGCCATGCTCTCCCTTTTAAGGGAAAATTAAGACAGTTTCTCACAGGTTTAATGCAAAAACCCTGGAACTCCTTGCTTTGGGAGTTTGTGGGAGCTGGAATTTGTGTGTCGTTGCAATCACCTAAATGTGACCATGTATGGGCCGAGTGACAGGAGGATGACTTTGCTGTGCTCAGCTGCAGTTCAATGATTCTCCCATGAGAATCAATTGCTATAAAATCACTGGTTCTTACGCAAGACATGTTCTGACTAAAGCAGTGGCAGGGGTTTATAGAGAAAACGTAGGTAGACTTGCTCAATGCAGTTACAAAAAAAAGAACAACAATTTCCCATCTAGTTTACATATATTATAGAAAATTTAGGCAATATAGAAAAGCAGAAAGAAAAACATAAAATCACTCAAGACCTGTCAACCAGAGGTAACCTCTGTAAGCATTTGTATATAATAACAAGTGAATTCAAACTTGAGTTTTATAACTGACTTTTTTCGTTGAATAGTATATTATGAGCACATTCCTGTGTCATTAACGATTCTTTGGTTTATCGTGAGTGGCATTGCCTCCCTGAGATTGAGTCATTAACATTGAACACATGAAATCAGAGCTTTCCAGAAGAAAGCGGTGAACTCTGTTGCCTGCACCTGTCTCTTTCATTGAACTCATGTCCATTTTTCATGCTAAGCAGTGCCAACTGGAGCCAGGTCTCAGCTGGATGACATGCTATTTTGCTTTATTTATTTCCTTATTTGTATCTGTGGGCTGAATTGCAGTTTATAAATAAGTACAAACTCGCACACAGATATTTCTCTCCATGGAGGCTGCATGGAATTCACACTTTTTCTCAAATGATTTAACATCTTTATCATTTATATTGAGCACGTGGATACTTCTAAGACAAGAAGTCAGTTAGGAGCTGGGCTGTACCTGTCAGTGGCAGAGCACTTGCCTAGCATGGGCAAGGCCCTGGGTTTGATCCCCAGCACTAGAAAAAAGTTAATTGGTAGAAAGGGGTGTGCTAATCTGAATTTGGTTTCCTAAAACTTTAGCCAGATTGTTCCAGATTGACCAGCAGTTCAGACATAAACTTTATACAGAAGTAAAGAAAACTGTGCAGAAAGATAACTCTGATGTGGTTCCTACCGCAGAGCTGTTAGGGTGGTTAAGAGGGAAAACTACGGAGTGCTTATCTGGTACATGTTAACTGTTCTCTAAACGGCAAACCAGCAAGACTATTAATAAGTTATTCTTAAAATTTGGTTAAAAAGATCAAGAAAGCAGAGACCAGCAAACTGAAGAAGAAAGCTGCAGGGTGGTACTAGCCTGGAATTTTCTACTAGGCACCTGAGCTTTGTCTTATTTCTCTCCAGAAGCCAGACAGCAATCTGTTATGAAAAAAAGACTCAAGAATTCAGAGAAGAGATGCAGAAAGGACCAGGGAGGGGGCGGGGGGGCTGGAAGGAGCGTGAACCTGGTCCCCTGCCCACTGGAGAAGGGCTGCGTACAGAGCTGCGTGGTGGCTCCCTTCTTACTCCTCCTTATGCTGGCAGAGAAGAATCAGGGCTTCCGTGAGCAAAGACTGGGAGACGAGGATGCAGATGGCCACAGAAGCATTGAAATGGCCACTGGATGTTTTAAACAAACACCTCACCCCTTCCTTCCCGCCAAGTACTTTCCCAGCCACGCTATCTAAACATGAGCACTCCCAGGCTCCCTATCTCCTTCCCTGTTTTATTTTCCCTCTTAGTAATTAGCTCACTGTGACACAACACAGTTCCACATGGCATGTGTGCTGCTCGCCTTCCCAGTAGACAGATGTAAGCTCATGAGAGCAAGCTTCTTTTGTTCTGGGGTTCACAGCTATCTCCCTAGCGCCTAGCACAGTGCTCAGTAAATAATACGGCAAGTATTTGGTAACTATTTGCTGAATGAAAGGAAAGGGTAAATTCTCCCTTATTCTAAGGCATTTGTAGTGTGGTGAGCAGATGTTCTCAGGAGGCATTCCTGAAGATTCTCTGATGTTCAGATTATGCATAAGAAATAGCGTTGGCTTGGTGGAGAGGCTCAAGTGGTGGAGCTCCTGCCTAGCAAGCGTGAGGCCTTGAGTTCAAACTCCAGTACCAAAAGAAAGAGAAAAAGAAAAAAGAAAGGAAGAAAGAAAGAAAGTAGGGTCATTTACAACTTGGCTTTATATTTTTCTGGACCTTTTTAACACATTGAGACCAAGAACGCACAGCATTAGGATCCTATAATAAGGTATATGTGACAGGTAAAGAGTGTATCACTTTTTTCCCACCAGAATTCAGGCACTGATCTTGCAATTCAACAGTTGTTAGTTAAAGTAGAGGTAGGGAAGGAAGAGGAAAAATCTCCAGAAGGCAAAAATCCAAAACAAAAGCGCCAATAAAGAGCCACCATGTAGAGGCTACTGAATTCCAAGCACCATAAAGCTTTCTTTCTTTATTTTTTAAACAAAACCCTTCTAAGGTAGGTAGTTTTCTGCCTGTTTTGCAGATGGGAAGATCAGGACCTTGTCCTCAGTATTGAGTGAAGTTGAGAGCTGAGATTTTTACACCAAAATTTCAGCTTGGGTTTATGTAAAAGCTTCAACCTGTTCCCTCCAGAACCGTTCAGGAGATCTGTTATTTTGAAAAGATGCAAGCGAGCACCCCGCCTGCCTTGTGTTACAACTGCGGTGTTTGCAACGCCTGCTCTGAGCAGGTGTGCCAGGTTGCAGCCACCCTGTGAAGTCTGTGCCCCTATCAAAGCAACGAGCAAAACCCGAGTGTGCGAAGAGGCAGCCATGACCTTCCTCATTCTCTCCTTCTTTTTAGACAAAGCAGGCCGCCTATGCTGTGTGCTTGCAGGAGCTCCCAAGAGTTCCCGCCCTTGACCCAAAGATGCTGCTCTTGCTAATCTCGCATTTCAAACTCTCCTCTGGATTCACTCTCAGAGCCTACAGCCCCTTCTTTAAAAATTTCATCAACAACAGCCAATTCCTGTCCTTGTAGAATGGATGTAATTTTTGGAGACAACCATTTTCAGCTATGTCCAGTGAATAAGGTGGGTGAACAGCTGGATACTATTCTGAGTCAAAGGCAAATGGTGCATAGAATGCAAAGATAGTGGCTTTATTTTGTAGTTTTTAAAAACTGTCTCTAAAGGATTTTGTAAAAAGTTTCTAAAAGCACTTTGACCAACGTCTGCAGCATTGGAAAATGCACCAGTTACCAAGGGACCGTTTTGAAGGGTAATGGTCATTTGACTACATTAGCTTTGTCTGATGGTCATTAAAAAAGGGTTGAGCATAACTGCAGGGTCCTGGCTTGAATGATGGCCTTGACTGCAAGGACCATCTTCTGCAAGGAGACTCTGCGTTCTTATGGCTCTGCAATAAAACAGAATCAGGATGTAAATGTTTGCTTGGTAAACGGTTATGCAAGGCAAACAGACCAGGATGAGATGCAGCTGAGAATCTGAGAGCCTAATGTTCACAGAAACACAAAGCAATAAGCTTGAAGAGAAAATAAATTATGAGAATACTGGTGGGGGGGGATGGTGTTTTTATGGCTATGGCTATAAGGAAGCTAGAAGATGTTTGAAATGATATTCTTAGCTGGTTAAGGGAGCTCATTGTTGGTGATGAGTTTGAATGCACAAGGAGGAAGTCCTCATGAGATTTCTAGCCTGTGGCATTTCTAAGATATTTTAATATTTAGAATTTTAAAGTGTATTTTACGTGAGCACAATTTTACGTTGAAAGTGACACATCAGAATTCAGATCTTTCTCTTAAGATGAGTTAACATTTTATAATCCCCATCATAAAAGCTCTCGATCAGAAAGAATGGGTATTTTGTTTTAACACAGCCATTTATCATTTTGAAGGAAGCTGGATAAGGATAATTCCATTATGACTAAAGCCCTGAGGTTGAAACTCAAAGCATTCAGACAAGATTTTAGAAATCACTGAAATATTTCACCAGGTGGCACAGCACAAATGCGGGGCCGTGTCAACATTCCCCCTGCATCCACACCATTTCGTTTGATATAACAATAGTAAAAAGAGGGGGCTTTGTATAACCCAGGGTTGAATAACTCAGAAAGTGATTCCTGTCTCAGGACTTGCAAGGTTTAGTGTTCATTACGAATTACAGTTGTTATTGAGAGTTCTGTCTGGTGTAAATGCCAGGGTGTTTTTGAAGGAGTACCATTTACGCCTGAGTTCAGGGTGCATGCCTGCCATATTATTAAAACCTTTCAATGAAAGAGGTCATCGTTCTCAGGACACCATTAAAAGACAGCTAAGCTCTGCGGCCATGTTAGAGAGCATTTCAGATCAAGGGGTGTTAGAGAGTCTTTGCTTTTTAACCTTGGCCTGTTGAGCGTGTTTACCTAGGAGTCACAGAGTTGGGGTGAGAAACTGGAGTGCTGGCCTTGGGGCTTAGCTGCCTGGCCTCCACATTGGCCAGTTCTGTCCTTGGGGAACAGCGAGCGAGAAGCCAGGACAGACGGATGGGGTGAATCTTGGTTCTGCATTTGCAAAGGCCTTGCAGTTGCGTGCAAATCAGTGAGCCAGTTGAGGTCTCTGTTTCCTTGGTTGTTAAAATAGGTTTTAAAATGTTTACCACACAGGGTGGCTGGGAGAATTAGTTGGGAGAATCAATCTATTAGTCAGAAAGTAGTTGTTAAGTGACTATTTATGCCTGCAGGGCACATCAATCTTCTACTTCCTTGGCTTTGCGGAGCTCTTTCCCACCTCAGGACCTTCGCACATACTATTTGCCTCTGCTTGAAATGTTCCTCCTCCTCCTCTCCCCACGTTTGCCTCCTTCCCATCCATGAGAGCAATAGCAGCACCTCTACAGAGAAACTCAGGAGTTAAATTAAAATTGATGCCCAGGCCCCAACCTCAAGCAATGAAATGAGATTCTTTGCAGGTGAGGTTCGGGCCTTGATCCTTTTAACGGACTTCTCAGATAATTTCTAATTTCAGTTTCAAGTTTCATCTTAAATGTCACTTGCTCAAAGAAACCCTTCTTGACCACCTCTGGGATATGTCTAACTGCCTGGGCTTTCTCTGATTCTTTTGTAAGACTTGCCATAATTTTGAATTATTGCCTTTATTTGGACATTTTTGTTTGCCTCCCCCAATGGTGCTGTAAGATCAGGGAACACATCCGTCTTGATCTTTGTGCTTTTCACTATTATGAACATACAGGATTCCGAGTCTGAGTGTGTGCCCAGCTCTACCCCACACTGAACAACGTGTCTGGTCACACAGAGGCTCTAGAAATGTCTGTTGGCTTGAATGGTGCTGACTTTACTCTTATGGCACGTAGCCGTTTTGACCAAGATGTTACCCTAGGTGGTAGCATTTACAGTGATTGAAGGATTTAGGGCTGAGGGGTTGTGGCTTTTTCATGAACGTTAAGTAGTTGGTTTAGGCAGTTCGGTCATGATCTAAATATCTACAGATGGTCTCCACACCTGGGCACAGAGGGACAAGACAGTAAGTTCATGCTTTTAGGCAAATGATGAAACTCGGAGGAATCCAAAAACAACTCAGAGTCCAGGCCCTCCCAGCACAGGTGTGGGCGCATGGGAGGCCCGGGCTGAGCTCTCACTATTGGTTGGGCCTGTTCTTTCCAAATTCTTGCTTGGCAATTACTAAAAAAGCTCCTACTGTCTCCCCTGGTCCCTTGTTCACCATCTGACAATAAGTTTCTAGGGGCTTTACCCCAAGCTTGAATTAACTAACACCAGTCAGGGCGGTGAACTTTTGCTGTTTTTGAATTTAAACTTCATTTCCTTAAGGAATCACCTTGGTTTTTTCCCCTCCTCCTTGCATCAGTTGTATGTAGGTGATTTGTTGGAGGAAAATGGAGGACTAGGGGTGAGACAGATGGCCCCAGGGAAGAGGGATAAATTAAAGCCAAATCCAGCCATGTGATAAAGGCCTTGCTTTGCTGTTTGCTGGGTAACTTTCCTATTCTCATGGAGGGAAGTGCATGTGCAACCCCCTCCCCGCAAACCCACACAAATGAAATCCCCTCTTCAGAAAGCCAGTGACAGGAAATTGACTTCTGTACAGGAACTTGCTAATCGTTGTTGTCACATTCAGATTGTTCCTGCTGTCTCAGTGGCCAGCACGTTGGGTTAGAGTCTCTACTACTGTTATTTCTTCCAGTGTGAATCAGTCACAGTCCTAAGGAGGACAGAAAGGCTGATCCCGGGAGGAATCCAGCCCAGGGATAAGTTTCGGCTGTGTTGCTTTTGCCTACCTGCGCCCAGCAAATTTGACTTCCGGAGTCAGTCATTTTGGTGTTGAGACATTTCTTTTGTATTCTACACCGGGTAAGACTTTTGCCTTTTTAAAAATATTTCTTTAGTGTCTACAGGAGTCTTTGTAATTTTATTTAGCATTTACTATGGGCTAAATACCTTGTTCTACCTGTTGTAATGTGTGGAACTAACTTACAGAAGGAGGGGGAGTCGTCCAGCTCTGTACTCCCGCCCCAAATTCTAACAAGATGCACACAGATTTTGAATCATTGAAAGTGGTGACAGGGAGCCTTTTGCTTTTGCAGCTGTTCCTGCCAGTACTTGTAACTGACAAGGGGCTCAACTCTCTAGGTCTTGTGAATATCACCCAGTGTGTAATCTAAAGACGCTCTAACTTGTGCAAGCAGCAATTTTCAAGTATTTTAGTTAGCAAAAGAAACCAAACCAAAATCGAAGTGACGTAGGTTTGGTTCTGGAATTCCTAGCTTATTTGTTTCATCCATTACCAAGACTCCTGTCCAGTCTTTTAAGAGTGGCTCGTGTACGTAAGTACTGATTTATAAGTGAACGAGTTGATGGTTTCTTACCAGTTCTAACTGATGTTGTGGAGAATATAAGATAATATAAAGAAATATTTACTTTGAAGAAACATGAGGAAACAGTGCAAGATGGGAGTTAGGTGATGATTGGGACGATGTGGGCTTCAAGGGTTGTAAGAGTTCTAAGAAGGGTTGGGGTGAGCTGGAGAAGTCAGGAACGTTAAGGAAGGTTTCTCTGGAAAGACAGGAGCTGGGGCAGATGACAAAGGGGAAGGCCATTTCACACTGGGAGGACTGCGTGGACCTCTGCACAAAGTGAGCCTGATTTGGAAGGGACTAACCCAGTGAAGAAACTAGCTCAAGAAGAGAAGAAAGTTTGTTTTACCCACTACAGGATATAGGATGAGAAAAGTAGCGTGTGTTGAGGGGTCTTTGGGGGAATGTGAGCAGAAGACACTTGTTCCATAGATATCTGGTCTTCTTAAGCCATTTGGCTCCTCCTTGGCTGCTCTCTTAGCTCTTATCAAATTCCATTTGATGGCAGCTGGGCCATCTTTGCCTCTTCATCCTTAGAATGGTTTTCTGTATCCCCACATCTGTCTATAGACCCCCATTTGGTCTCTACTGTCTTCCTTCAGTACATCATTTACGCAGAGAATCGCTTGTGGGGCCTGGGTAACCTCCACTCAAGTTTCTACATCTTAAGAAGGCCCTTCAGTCATCTGGTGATTAACTAGCCTTGCTCTTGGGAGGACAAGTTGGTCACTCAAAAGCTAGTCAGAAAACTCCATGAGCTATGTGCTACCTCCTTTACACAGCTGAGTGAGATATCATGGATACACTGCTCTTCTTTCCCTGGCTGTTCCTTTAGACAGTCAGCATATCATAAAGATTCCTGGAACATGAGTGTCTGAACCCCTGTAATAGCAAACAGACAGTAAGGTGAATAATAACTGTGACTTTGAAGCCAGATTGACTTGTGTCATCAAATCCTGGTTCTATCATTTCTAGGGAACTTCAAAGAAGTTATTTAAATCCTTCAATGTTCAGAAATCTTTTAAAAACCTATAAAATATCTCCAATGACAGTAATAACAACTGTAAATCTTTATCTCAAAGGGTTGTTATACAGATAAAATGAGATTTAAAAATATATAAAGTATTTAGCCCAGTGCCTAGCTTAAAATAAACTCCCAAAGATGTAGTGATTGTGATTCTTGTAAGGACTTGGCTATGGACACAAATGAAAATAATGTGATCCCTGACTTGGGAGCAAGTCATCTTCAAACTAACTCTTTAAATACCAATATTCCTTTCAAAGGAAATTGGGGGTGACAAGTAGAAGCTGGGAGTTGACACCTTTTGAGTGCTGAGTGTGGATTAGTCACAGGGGGTTGGGTGTTTTACCGTGGTAACACATGAAAAAAAAGAAAACCAGATTAGAAACTGATTTTTCAAACCTTTCCTCTGAGTATTTGTGCATTGTTTATGAGCACGTGGGCTGACACTGTTCTCTGAATGCTTTGGGTAGAATTAGAGAGATGCTTGCAACCAGAGGCAGAGAGGATGACATTTCTTACTTGGCCAGTTTAAATTAAATCATTTTACTTTAAAGTGTTTTAATTTTAGTCTTAGCAAGCCTCAGCTTAAGCTCCATTTCTATTCAAGAGTTGGGATCATTTTGACCACAAGTGCCCGAAATGCTTATTTGGGTTCTGGATGCTTGGATCTGGGTGAAAGCTAAGATTAAAAAAGCATCCTGCTTCTTCTTTCTACTCTAGATTAAAGATTCTTTTGGATTAGAAAACTACTTTTAAAAATGCAACTATAGCTACTGTGTTAATTATGCAGAAGAGTTTCAATTTATGTGCACAGAGTACTTTAGTAAAACAGTGATACTGTTTTTTTTTTTCTAGAGATCCCCTGAAAACACTAGGGAGGAAATTCTGGGGCTCTATGTTTGATTAAAAATGTAAGCCCAAAAATGACTTGGAGGCAGTGGCTGAACAGGGGGTGATTTGCGAGCCATAGATCGAGAACTTTTCGATCAAGAGTCCAAGCATCAAGATGGCAGATTGAGTAAGTGCCAAAAGGTAGCAAATCCATCTTCACTCTGTTGTGTTTACTGTCTTCACCCAGAGTGTATTTTATCTTGTTTTGAATTTATTCCTTGGGATGTGTTCTTGGGGAGAGATGAGTAGGTCAGGGGTATGAGCATTTTTTATTCAATCATATTTACATTTTACCTTGCAAACATAGGGCACCTTCTAAAACACTAAGCACTATGTACCATTACTCTAGGAGAACCCAAAGTAAGAAGTTTTCTTTCAGCCAAGAAAGTGGCCAGTTTCTTCCTTATCTCTCTTTTTCTGTAAAATGGAATACCAATGAATTATTTTTGGAAGAAATTTCTAGAGCATTACTGAAAGCTCAATGGCTTCTTAGAGCATCAGTTGGAGTCTTCTTATTTTTGCATTAGTTTCTCGTAAAACTGAAGTCAACAGTGACCTCTTCCCCATTTCATGGAAAAGAATACCAAGGAAGAGAGTGACAAAGTGACATGCAGTATGGTTCTTGTCACATTTGCCGTGACAGCTACATAGTCATCCATTCAGTTCATTGTCAAAGTAAGTAAATGATTGAGCAGTTTGTATACATGAGCTCATGGAAAAAGACACTGTAAAACAGACAGGTGGGGAGGGCAGGCAATTAACGGATTCAGATCGGAGACAGATAGACTTCCCACTCTATCTTTTTTTCATTATATTTTATCCATTATTTGCATAATCTGCTGACCTAAAAGCATGGTCATTGTTGAACATGGGAATAAGGTGAATTTTTCCAATGGAAAGCTAAGTGTGCTTGCAAGATATCAAGTGAGATATTTACAGTGGTGTTTTAGAGCTAGCCTGAACTTTGCAAAAGTAGGTTATAATATTCCCAGAGCTTTTGCAAGCTACTGAAGTTATTTACTTCTGTTTATCTGTGTGATGGAAGGTACTGAATAACAGCATACTACGGGGTCATCTTTTTATTTTCCATTTAGTGATGTCGTGTTGGTAGCTAGAACTTGGTCATAATAGGAGTATTTATGCCACTGAAATCTGTGAACACAATACAAACAAAAAGGCTCTCTACCTTTTTTTCTTTTTTTGAGAGCCTGTTGTTAAACATTTTCCAGTTGTCCCCAAGGAACTCCGTGAAAGACAGATGCAGTAACTTGGCGGTATTTGTCAAGAACCATTAAAACGCCCATATACTTTAATCCATCCATGCCATCTCTGGAAACTTATTCTAAATAAATAATTCAAAAGGCAGAAATAACATGCATGAATACATTCATTGTGTTCTCATACATGACAGCAAAATCTGAAAATGACCTAAACACTAAGCAGTGGGGGTTCTGGCAGCATGAAATATTTTAGTCATTAAAGTCATAGTTAAGAGTTATGAAAATATATTTGATCTGATAGTCAGAAAAGCAGGATTAAACTTTTTACCTATATTTTGATTTTATGATGAATGAGAAAAAACGTGATCCATAAAGAATGAAAGACGGGGTCTTAGAATGGGGAAATGTTAGATGTGTTTTTATTTCATTTATTGTAGCTGTGGTATATGTGCATTAAAACATATGGAGAAGCTCTGTAAAGAGGTTTGGGTAGTTTTAATATGTTAAGGGGGTTTTGTGGACCGGATGAGGTCTGCCTCTAACACGGTGATGCCTGAGCAGATTGAAGGGAGTTTGGTGTAGACTTGTGAATGCGGAAGGGTTTTCCTTCAAGCCGCTGAGAAAGGAGGAAGTAACTGGGTTCTCAGTACTTGCTAAAGTAGACTATAGGAAGAAAAGACTAATGTCATACACTAAGGCCCTCCATGTCTTCTGAACAGCAATTCCATATGTAGAGTGAGAAACAGCCCATAGAAAAATTACCATCAAAGGCCAGAAGAAACTGGCCGTGGTGACACACATCTATAATCCTAGCACTCAGGAGGCTGAGGGGGATTGCGAGTCTGAGGTCATCCTAGACCACAGAGTGAGACCCTGTCTCAAAAGACAAAAAACAAAAGCAACAACAGCAAAAGGCCACAGGAAGAGAGGAGAGAACAAGGGATGTTGATCTCAGAGGTAGAAAAGGTGTTTGTAAAAATAACTCCATTCTGATAAGGAAATAAATAGGACTCAAACCAGAGAGAGTACGATTCTTCTAAATCGCAGGTTCTCAAATGTTATTAGTGTCCAGGGGTCACGTGGATGAGCAGGGGACGTGTTAACAAATTCGGTTTCTAGGCTCTACCTCCATGTTTTCTGATAGAGGGGAGGGTGGCAGGAATATGAATTTTTAACAGTCGTTGTGAATGGTCTGAAGGTCTGACTTTGAGAAACACTACTAGATTAAAGGTAATAGTTTGGTTTGGTCCAGGATATGTGTTTCTGTGTGTGCATGTGTAATATGTGTGTGCATTTTGTGTGTGTGTGTGTGTGTGTGTGTGTGTGTGTACATTGTGGGTGAAGCTGGAGGCTGGAGTCTTA